AAAAAAAAAAAAAAAAAAAAATTCTTCTGACCTCAAGAGCAGTGTCAGGGAACTTGTCCCAGCCACTTCCCACGGAATCCCACTCACCTGATTAGGGTATTGACCTTGGCAACATCAATGTCATAAAGCTTCTTTACAGCCTGTTTGATTTGGTGCTTATTGGCTTTGACATCCACAATGAACACGAGTGTGTTGTTGTCCTCAATCTTCTTCATGGCGGACTCTGTGGTCAGGGGGAACTTGATGATGGCATAGTGGTCAAGCCTGGGGGGAGAAAAATATCAGGTCACCAGGCCTGGTCCCAGTAGAATGGCCTTTTAGGAGTCTAAAGGTGAGAATACAGGTGCATCAGACAATGGGTAGCAATCATTTCTGTCAGCCTTTGGTCGCTAATGTGTCATCAGCTGCACCTTGTTCCTACAGGTGTGAAGCTCCTACTAGGAGGCAGAACCTTTATCTATTTTCTTTAACCTGAAAAGCTCTCATTCTTTAGAGAATCACCTTGACTGAGATCCTCACTGGAGTTTGCTCTATGTTGACAGATTCCTAGGAGGGTGGGTAGAACATTTCTGTAATCCCAGCCTGTAATCCCAGCACTTGGGAGGCTGTGGCAGGAGCATCTCAAGAGTTGGGAGGCCAGTCTGGTCTACATAGTGAGTTCAAGAATAGCTAGGGCGGGGCTGGGGAGATGGCTCAGTGGAATAAGCGCTTCCCTAGCAAGCTCAAGAGTCTGAGTTCAATCCCCGGTTCCGCAAAACAAACAAACAAACAAACAAACAAAAAGAATAGCTAGGGATACAATCTCAAAACACAAACACACAAAAATTCCGCCCCCAGGGCAGGGTAGATGGCTCAGTAGAATAAGTGCTTGCCTGGCAAGGGACAAAAGCCCAACTGTCTCGAGTGGGCTGGGGATGCAACTCAACAGATCATCTGCCTAACAGATAAAAAAACTGGTCAAATCCTATGTTACACACACACAAAAGCCCACCCAAATAGGCCGTTTATTCAGCATTAGGCATCACAAGCAAGAAACTAGAGACTGGGTGTGGTGGCACACACCTGTAATCCCAGCTCTTGGGAGGCCTTAAACAGGGGGATCACCAAGAGTCTGATCTAGTAGTGAGACCCTGAACACCCTGTAGACCCATCCCTAAAATACAAAACAATAACTACTTGAGTAGTGTGTTTGTATGTATATTTTTGGTAGCATCCAACAACAGTGACCTTCCTGTCTCAGCCTCCCATGTGCTGGGATTAAAGGTGTATGTCACCATGCCAGCAAGTAGCAGCTCTTTAACTTTACATTCCCCACAAAATATTTTCAAACTTTGATCATGCTAAATAATTAAAGCAACAGAAAATCTGACATTGTAGGTTGACAATTTTGTCAGTATCTAAAAAATTTTTTGGGGGGCCGGGGAGATGGCTCAGTGGAATAAGTGCTTCCCTGGCATGCGCAAGGACCTGAGTTCAATCCCCGGTTCCACCAAAAAAA